AATACTCTGCTCTGGAAATTTTCATTTAAAAGTTGAAAATCTAAACCATATTGTTTAACTTAGTTTGGATATGAAATTGGAAAAATGCCTAGTGTAATTCTCTGTGCCACAGGACACAGAGGGTGGATGGATGTGATATGTGATGTAATTATTTGTGTACATATCTATATGTATCTATATTTTGTGTTCTCAAAACAGTACAATTATTTCAAAATTGTATTATTTAAGCGAGTGTAAAGAAGCTTATATAAAGTTATAAATAGTGAGGCAAAAATCTAAGCCCTGAGATCTTAGTTGGGAGCGATTGACCAGGAAAGCGATCTTAGATTGTGGAGGTAATTGATGAAAATGTCAATCTATATATAACTGCTGTGAAAAAGATAAATTCCACATTAACAACTGAAAATGTCTTTATAAAAATTACTGATGTGGTCATACTTAGAACACTGTATATATATTTGGCCACTTCAGTTCTAAAAGGATGCTATAAAACTGAAAAAGAATACAAAAAATGGTAACCAAAAGTGGAGAAAAGCAGTTTGATATTGGGAGAAGGAGAGGATATGTGATCTTCATTTAAACAGATGTTTTCTAGCATAGGCATCTGTCAAAGATATTTTAGTTTCTGTATACATAACAAAGGGCTGAATGGCCTCTTCCAAAATTAAGACTTTATCAAATGATCCTGGAAATCTGTTTGAACATTATATACAGTTCATACAAGTGTAGCAAGGAAGCACAATGTGTAGAAAAGAAATAGGAATGCTTTGTCTCTATATCTTGTATACTAGAACCAGGGGCAACCAAATGAAGCTAAATAGTAGAAGATTCAGGACTGATCAAAGAAGTACTTCTTTCCATAATATATATTTAAATTACAGAATTCATAACCACATGATTACCCAAATGTATAGAGGAAAGGGCTGCTAACCATTATGATTATATACTACTTCAGTATCAGAGGTAGTATGAGAAGGAGTTGAAAACTGTTTTAGAAAGGGCAAAATAGTTGTTAGTCAGGAACACGCATTCATAAAGGCTTCAGCAAAATACTTTAAAGTAGAAGAGAAATAGTACGCTAGAAAAAATATATATATAGTGTAGCCTGGCAGATTTCTACATTAGTTTTTATATAACAGAAGGAAAATTCAAGGTCGAAGATGGTGAAGACAGATGGATAGTGATAAAAATAAGAGTTATCCTATCAGATGTAAGACAAAGTCCATAGTTCCAATGTTGGGTTGAAGCTGACCTCCATCTTGAAGTCTGACCTCTGGAAATACATATTTAATGCTAAGACAACATAAATACAATTTAAACCTACTATTGGATTAGAGTATTCCAAACATTTTTTCAGTCCTTTTTATATCACCTCTGTCTGTACTACAGGTTTTTATTTTATTTTATTCAATTGGAATGCTCTGTTTCAATATTTGCTATAATTTTTTGATACTGCTAATATATTTCCACCATAGCTTCCACTCTAGAAGACAGAGTAGCTGACACTTATGTATATGGAGTGGAATTCATTTTATTTTATTTTAATCCTTCAGACTTTAATCCTTTATTTTGCTATTAACCATGCAAAATAAAATATCCCACTACTACAATGGGGTGGGGCGGAATCATATTGACAATTGATATGTTACTCAAAATAGAGTGCTCAGATTTCATTGATATATATGCATCCTTTTTTAATCTGGGCATACTTCTCATCCAGATGGAAGGTGATATTATATTTATCATATAATGAGTTAGATCCATCATTTATATTTTTTCCATACATAGAGAGCATATATCTAAATAGCATATTTCTCTTGCCTCATATTCTCACTGGCAGTACTATCGATCTGTAAAATACCTTTGCAAATAGAATGTGTGACTGTTGCTGCCCTTTGTGCAAATCTAGTACCCTATTGCCTTGCAAGGATAATTCTGCTATTTCAAAATATCCTGACACATTCTTGCAAAGGTCATCCTAAGACAGGAAATGATTAAGGGAAAAGAATCACAAAATTGGAAAGAAGAAAAAGTTTGCATGCGCTATACCAACATAAGCTCTGGAAATAATTACAATATTATACCTATAGTGAAACTAAACATTATTTTAAATATTAATAATGATTACTGCACCAGAATATTTGCCTTCATGAAGATATGTTTTTATTACAAACTGAAAAAACTTTAGATTTGCACTAGGGTTTCCATTTTTACTCTACATATAACTAAAATACAGATCCATGAAAAAAGAAGAAATCTTTAGATTTAGTGAAGTAGATTATTTAACTGTTTCCAAATTTGAATAAAATTTGCAAGGGCTTTATTTTTCTTCACCTTTAACAGAGATCACAAAATAAATTTAAACAGACTTTTAGTATTAACCATTTTTCTTTACATTTACTAACCATACCAGTCGCTCCAATCCACACTAATTATAAGATATAGATAAGAAATATCCTATATTTAAATAAAAAGAAAATCATTCTTTGGATATATGAAGATATAGTACCAAGAAGAGTGAATAATGTGTATTTCATACATATGATAAACAGTATATGATTCTAACATGGGTGTGCCTAAAGAGTCACAAAGCACTAAATCAAAAGGTACATTTTTCTTCCTGTATCCATTCACCAAGGTATATTTCTTTTGACACATCATGCACATTTCAGTACTTTTGAGTTGGCTTCAGCAAGATTCTGCAGTGCACAACAGTTTGCCCCAGCGAAAAGAAATGTAGAAGATGGTGCACAGTCTTGCCATAGTTTCTTATCCCTGGTCTAGTGCAGTTTGACCATGTGGATTCTCAAACTGGCAAACTGAACATGAAGGAGATTTTGGGGCCTTCCAAATGACCCATTCTCCTCCAGCTGTGGCAGGGAGCTGCTATTTCAGGTTAGTGCCTATATCATCCTTTTGCTAGGTTTCTTAGTTATATCTGCCATTGGTCTTCTCTAGCAGAAATCACTTGGCTTTTAATATTTTTCATTCCATAAAAAAATTTTTGAATTATCTCAAGCAATTCCATTCAGCAATACAGTTATATAAAGATATCCAGAATCCTCTAATTGGCCTTTAGTCTCATTTTGACTGACTAAAGTTTTCTAAATGTTTAGATGGGTTATTTCAGGATAAATATAGAATTTATTAGTTTTAGTGGGCTTCAAACAACATATGATAACTCAGCTGTTGCAGGTCAGTTTAATAGGAAAGTGGCCTTAGGAACAATAGAACAGTAGGGCTAGAAGAAACTGTATACAGTAATAATAAAGCAAAATACTTCAAGGGTTATTGGATACTCCAGTCACAGCAGTTATTTATTGATTTATTAATATAATTTTTATACTGTCCTAAATTCACAATTCTGAACAACGTACAGTAATCACCCAGAGTTAAGGTTTTACTATCAACAGATTTTGAAATGTCAATGTCACATGTATTTTTTTATAAATTTGACCTGCCCATTGCTGCAGTAATCTGTGGTGGGATATTTGAAAACAAAAAAAGATGGCTGAACAATTATTACAATGTATTATGGATACAGTTATACTAAAATATGCATATACATGTCCATATTGTAAATAGGCACTGTAAACACTTAATACATGTATTTTCTTAAAGGCCAAAACTGTGATACAAAATTGCCCACTGCATGTTTGTTGGGAGGTGTGAATCAAGTGAATTTACTTTGAGATACAGAACAATATGTTTGAATATTTCTAATTCTTATCTCTATTTTAGGAAATAAAGGTCTTTTTGTCAGTTGAATGGTTCAAACTGACTGTGCTGTATATTAATATGCCCCCCCCCACCGTGCAGAGAGGACAGTGTATATATTATGTTAAATCATGGTTTGTTTAATAAATAGTAATTATGCTATAAATTAGTATAGCTATAAATTAGAATCTAAAGTGGTGGTCTTCAACTTATATGCTAAGCTAAAACAAAACAAACTACAATATGGCTTAGCATGCTCTGTGAACCCAACAATACAGGTTCACAGTAAAAGTTTCAAACATTATTCCAACTGACCTGATTGAAATCCACTTCAGCAGTGTTTATAGAAAAGATGTTTATAGAAAAGACTGCCTATCAATATCTGAGTGATTTGTCAGCAGTTCTAGTCAAGCTTAGTTTGGCTGAGGATGCTTGTGGTCTACTTAGAGTATACCTGATCATCCAGTCAGGCTTTATGGTTTGCACAGATTTTTACAATGTCTTTTTCATCTCCTAACCCCCATTAAACTTGGAAAATGACATTCACTAATCCTTTATTGGAAATTGGCAAAAAGGATTTCCATAGTCTTTGGAGACTTTTTGTGTCCTCAACTGTGTAATAGATTGGATAAAAGTGCCATGAGAAGTAGAAGAAAAATTGAAATGTCATTATATATACATGCTTTTCTACTAATCATTCAAATGCATGATTTAAAAAAGTAGGCAATAGAGATGATGGCAGTTAAGTTAGGATCATGTGTTTCACTATGGCAGCTTTGCTTATAGAAGAGGTGATACTAATTGACTGATTCCAAAATTAACATGAACAAAACACTTGTGCAAAGAAGTATATGCAGTACATCTGGATAAAACAATTTGTTTTCAATACTGTTTTTCTTTTAAATTATGTACAATATATCACAACTGATTATTTTGGACATAATTTGAAAACTTCTAATAGTAACTATTGCTCCAGTGCTGCATCTATGGATAGAGATGATGCACTTGCAGGAACCAAGTAAGCACAACCATGGAAGTATATAACTTGCTTGTTGATCAGAAGCCATTTGTTTACTTTCCTATAAGCTAGTTAGTAATGCATTTTTATTTAATTAGATAATATACATATATGCATGATCCTTAGAGTGAAGTGAAACCATTATAATAAAATCCTTACACAGATATTTCAAAATATTGTCAACCAAGCTAACTATATTTTTCCCTCAGTGTGAGTAACAAGTAGGAAAGCAGAAATAACTCTTTTATCTTCTTTTGTTTTACAGAAGTTAAACACTTATCTGGAAATATCCAAACTACTGGAAGATTATGTTGGATTAGGGAGAGCATATCAAGCTATAGCTCAGGTCCTTGTAAGGTAGATTGCCACATCTTTGTCTTGCTATTATTTAAATTTAATTCAGCTGTGGAAATTGTAAGATATTTGTTTTGTAATACTGGCAGGCAATATTTCAAGCAATGCCTTTATCATAGCTGACATTTTAATTTAAGCTTTTGAAATTAAGATACCTTATGATTTCTTTATACATAACAATAACCTTTTGGAGTATTAAACAGAACTGAAAGTTGCACTGTTGTTCCATTCAAAAAGTTTAAGCCACAGGTGAAAAACAGAATATCCTGCCATATCTTGCAGGTTAAACAACAGTGCAATAATTATGACATACTTCAGTAAACATGCTACAATATAATCTTTCAAGAATGCTTCTTTGAAAACTTTTCATTGTACTGTTCTACCTTACTTTTTACGGCAAAAATAGTAAGAGTTTTTGGAAGTTAAAAAAAAAAAAGCTAGGAAGCCTCAAAATCTATAAACTAGCATAGTAATTTCCAGGAAGGTTTCAGATATATTATAATTTTAAATGTGGCTTTTGGTTAAGGAACGTCCACACTAGATTATAGGTTGCCTCCGAGAAGGAATATGGGCTTAGTCCACAGATAGAAAATTGTCCTCAGTCAGGTGCAGAGATGATATTAAAAAGTTAGAGCACAGACTTTTTTAACATTTGGTGGGAAGTAAAGATTAACAAATAACTGTTGGCATCTAACTTTGGAAATATAAAATCCAACTGTTAGGCCATAATTTAAAAAAAACAAAAAAAACAGGATCTCTCCTTGTTATGTGAAAAACAGAAAACTGATCTATTAGGTGCTCCTTAGCTCTGTAGTATATGGTTAGTATAAATGTCCAGAATGACTCTTTTATACTTTTTAAACATTGAACAGTTTTTATAACATTGCACAGATTTACATAAGAATAAAATTCAGAGGCTAAAGAGTAAGTTGTATATTTATATGCATAACTATACTGAATTCTGAGCCCTTGCCTTTCCATTCATGAAAGCATTGACAGCTTTTCTACCAAATTCTTTTGCTTCTAGAGATTATGTAAGTAAAGGCAATAAACTAATGAATATATGGCATGATAATTTTTATTAATTTTATCGATTTTATTATTAATTTATTAAATTTATTAATTTATTTAATTTTATAAACATTATTGATATTAATATTAATAATATTAATTAAATTAATATATGTTATCAAGATTGCTTTAGAAATCCCTTGAGATGAGTTGAGAGAATCTATTCAAGAGTGATTGAACTGTTACTTTCTGAAAAAAGTATTTCTTGGAAATAGAAATGGCTAGTACCTCTGTTGTTCATAGACTATATTAGTAGTCTCCAGTTGTCATATTAGCAGGTATCAGTATTTGTATATATTCTAATAGTTAAGATAGGTTTGTTTCTTATGTCTGAAAATGTTTACCATTGAATCATGAAAGAGGAATTACCCACCTTCCATGGAAGCTACATGCCATATCTTTTTGAAGGATGTTTCCTGATTGAAAGGAACCAACACAGAAAGCAATGATACGCAGAGATGCAGAGGGAAACTATGGGTGGCAGTTCTGCTAAATCATTGCTTCAGGAACAATTGAATAATTCACAACCATTTGCTGATTAGACAATACTAGTCATTGCCCCAGAAAAGGCTGACTGGAACAGTGCAAATCGTGAACAATGAACTTTGCAGAGGCACAGCGGACAGACTTCTTTACGACTCTGTAGGGTACTCGGAGCCTTTAATTATGACTTAATTTTTTGTTGCGTAAATACAGTTCTTTTATGAGGCACAATTTAGAAATGCATCACACTTTCAGCAGAATTAATTTTTAGGTAGTTGATATAATGATAATTGTTATTGACTTAGCATTTAAATTGTCAAAAGACTGTTTTCTCTCTTTCCTTTGTTTTATTACTCCCTTTTATTTTTAATTCATACCAGTTAACCCTCAAACTTAATTGTGCAAATGCATGTTTCATTTCAGAGCACTTCACAAATCCTATTGAAATAAATGAAGTTGGTACAGAATTATATAATTGCACATAGTGTCTGTATTTAATTCTGTGAATTAAACTCCTTTTAAATTATGGAGATTTGGGTTTTAAATTAAAACAGACATAGCACACTGTATGATCATAACTTGATTGTCATACCAAGTTGCTATTGCTACTTTTGTTTCAAAGTAGTATTGCATTCTCTAGAATATAGTGTATTAAATTGAACTGAATTTCCTAGTTCTTAATTCTCATATGATCTCCTGATTCTTTATCAAGGGATCTAGGACCTATGCTAGATATGATTCTACTGGCTTCTGCACACCCCTTCCCCCCAAGCTTTTAGGATAATTGCAAATGCAGTAGTTCAGAAATATAGCAAGTTTCTGTGTCCAAATGTTTGCGTAATACTGATTTGTGCATAGAAACTTGTGATTTATCATGCCTAAACTAGTGGATAAGACAGAAAATTCTGTGCCTAAAATAGATTTAATAGATTCTTTTGGATATCCATTCTTAAAGTTTTTCATAAATATTAGAGTTTGATTTAAAAAAATGTTTCATATGAATGCTTCATAGTTTGAAGCATTTATATTAAATTATTTAATTATTTTGGTAATCCAGAAATAATATATTCCGCCTAATAATGATGGTCCATCTTACTAATATAAAGATGGTCCATCTTAACAATATAAAGAGCTTATATAAAAGAACTTTCTATAGAAGATTTTTTTCATCGTAAAAGCATATATTGTGTTTTTCAATATGTGCTAAATGTTTGGGTTTTTTTCTAAACCTAGCTTTACCTTCAAAACCCATTTCTAATTACAGTATCGTGATGTTGGCAGAATATATGTGTATTTATGTATATGTATATGTATATTTGTGTTTTTTTGTGCCATATTTGTGTTTGTGTGTATGTGTAACTTTTTAGGATCAGATTCTGTCGCTGAAAAAGTATTGGAAGAAAAGCTTGCAATGTGAAAGGCACTATGAACTTGAATAGATAAGAATTGTGAATAACAAATAATAACTTCTGTATTCTAATATAGGTTCATATTTGGCTTAAAATATGGTTTCACTGACTTAAAATATAGATTATGTTTACCTCTAAATAAAATATAAAATAAAACTAAGTGCTGTTTCAAAGACTGGGTAGACTAGGCAGATTATTATTGTTTAATGCTATTTGTTTGGAGAGTTTTTTCCCTCCATAATTGTTTTTCAGACTTCTTCAATCGTATCTTGATTTTGTAGCAGTTTTACACTCATGGCAGAAATAAAACTCTGTAGTAGCATATTTCCTTTTGGTTGTAATTCTCATTCATTCCTTTCCCCCCTTTTATTTTCTTTTTGCTTTATTGAAATTGAATGGTCTAGTAGCATCCTTATTTTTTATAAATGAAAGTGGAATCTAACTGGGCAATCTCAAAAACTGTCCAAATAGCCTCAAAAACATTTCTATTAATTCATTGCATTAAGAAAACCTTTATTCATTTTCTCCTGTCACTGGTTCCATTTGACTTATTACTTTCAGCCTCTAACCCACAAACATGGTGGCACAATCAACAAACCCCTCGGTGGCTGTTTCATCTCTGTTCTATTTGATTTCTTCACTCTGAGTAAATGATTAAGATTTCATGCATTGGTTCAACCAAAATCTATGTTCACTCAACCACATCCTTTATTGATTACTTCTACTGCAAACAGTAGGCCAAGTGTGATATACATAATTGGACAGTTGTCAGGGGATGTGGGTGTTAACAGTCCTGTTTTCCCAGTTGGAAACTGGAATCACCTTGATACACAAATATTCTGCACAGTTTCATTCTCATTCTTTGGACCGAAGAGTACTTTCCTCAGAATATATGTTTTTAACTCTCTAAGGTCTGGTTGAATGAATTTAGTGATTATACCATATAATATGTTGTTCAAGTTGCACCTGTGCACTGCATATAGAAAACTAGAAAAACTGGAATTAATATTTGTCTAACATTTTAACCTTGTCCTTTAACTTCTATGAATCAGTTCAGTACTTCTTTGTGGAAATGTTTGGTTTCCTCCTTTTTGAAAGAAAAATAGCTTTCAAAATGTGGCTCTTCTTTAAACTTTAGAAACCCTTTGACATGCAGTAAATGTTTGCAATGCATTCTACATCCTCATAATATGTGATGGCCTTTTCCAAAATATAATAAAATAACATCTAATCAATACATTTTGTTGCAAAATTTTAAAATACATTAGTTTTAAATGTCATACAAATTTTAGTTTATACTTCAAAAATGGAAATTAGTGGAATTTACTTTTAGTTATAGATAGCATTATACCTATAACTAAGTTAGCTAATGCTTTAGTTTGGTTCACTTTAATCACATGAACATATTACACAACAGTATTATAGTCTTGCAGAGATATATATTTGCCTGTAAGATTCAAGTGTATTAGTTTATAGATTATACATTTTTATTTTTGTTTCTATGGTTTTGCTCCTAGTTTTTTTTAATAAGAAAATAATCCCTTTTTCCATTTCAAATAAAGATTATTTTTCACATTATTTTTATATTACACTAGAAGTTGTGGCTTATTGGTAGTTTGACAATTTATTTTCTGAACCATTGCATTAGGCACTCAGTTTCAAAGCAAGTATTTAAATTATGTTTATTCACAAACAAGTTTGGCTACATGTTTTAACAGTAATTGGAGAAGTGTTGTTAATATAGCTTGCTTTATTAAAAATGTGCAAAAATCTTATCAGTGTTTATTTGCCAAAGTTTACCTTAGATTTGGGAATGATCTTTGGATCATTTGTATATTAAACTGCTTGTTGGAGGTGATACACTACAAGTCAGTGCAACTATAGTAGGTAGTATAAATTTATCAACCATTGCCTTACACAATTAAAAAGAGCAGCAATTATATCTTGAAGGAGTCTATCCTCCAGTAGCTGCTGCAGTTTATCATTTTCCTCCATATTGCACTCATATTTAAATTATATAACTTTTAAAAACAAGGTTTCATATACAGATTGTTCAGTTATATTCTGGCATAATATAATGAATTTCCCAATTAAATATCAAGTGTCTTTGTCCTTAGTCAGGGACAAATTGCTGAAGCTATTATGTACTTGGAAAAGTTCATGAACATTGCCAAGAAAGTTCAGCTGAACCAAAGTCTTGTGGATGCGTGTACATTCCTCGGAAATATTTACAATGAAAGTGTAAGTATTATTTAATAAGATACCATATGTACTGTTACATCAGTCAGAATCTGTATTAATAAATCTGATGTTAAATATTTTACCAGCATATATCTGCAATCTGAATATACTGCTGCTGTATTTTTTTTTATTTTTTACTTTACATTTTTAAATTTAAATTTATTTTTTAATTTAAAAATTTAATTTAAATTTTTTTACTGCATTGGACTAATGATAAATCCTAGGTATTATATATGTTTTTAAGTATTTCCATTTTTATGATGTTTGGATTATAAGCTGGCTCAACATTTAAAAGTGTACTATTAAGTTAGGCACTTCAGACCTTCAGCTTCTAGTTCCAGCAAAGTAGTGAACCATCAGCTCAATGTACCAAAATGGTTGCATTAAGTTGATATTATGGTAACATATACCTTTCATAAACTGGTTAGAAAAGTTAACTTACATTAGGAAATCTAACATTTTTGGACTTGTCAAATATAGATTTAATTCAGACTGAATTTACCCCAGTATGTTTTGGCTCTACAGTGAGTTGTTCTGTTCCGGGTTATTCTATCTCACTATACTGCTGCCAAGAGTTGATTGGAAGCTGCAATTTGTGCAGGACGTAGTTGCCTTGCTCTATACGTAGGAGATAAATTCAGAAATTTCTGTACCAGTTCCCAATTATCTACTGCATTATTTTGTTAAATAAAAAAAAATCTAAAAGAGGAGGAGGAGGAGGAACAAAACAAAGAACAAATTAAAGAAATACTAATTGAGTTTGAGTGTGTATGTGTGTGTGTGTGTGTGAGAGAGAGAGAGAGATCACATTTATGATCTTGAGAAATCAAACACTGAAAACATTCATATTCAATATATCTATCCAAAACAACAATTGTACAGATCAGAGTAATCTATTAGGAAAAGTTGGGTTGACACAATGACAAAATTTGTCCTTGATTGTAGGATTTTTTCCAAACATGTTTTTGTTACATTAATTGTTTAATCAAGGCAATTTCCAACATTTTTCAGTTTCACTGATCCAGTGAAATATCTATTTTGGTTCTCCAATGCTTTGCCATAGCAAATATAGCTGCTAATAATATGAACTGAATGAATTTCTAATGTTGCATTTGCCTATGTGCATTAAGAACTATAGATATTAAGGCAACTGCAGGATTTATTATGAAGGTTGGTTGAGCAATTTTCCAAATTTTTTTCAATAACTTTCAGTCAAAAGCTTTGACTAAGTGGCCATTGCCACAAAACATGGTAATGTGTACCAGTATGTTTACGCCCCGCCAGCACAATGTAGAAAGTTTGTGATTTATACCATCCCATTTTTAGTTTAGATAAAACCCCTATGTTTTATCTTCTTAGTCAATTTTTTATGAGTGGCTGAAATTAACTTAAAAGTTACTCTATGCCACAAAAAAATTAAATGAGATTAATTGAATTCAGTACCCCAATTATCCTCCTTTTTTAGATTTTCAAGAGAAATTGTGCTGAATATGTGTAGAGAGATGAGATTGCTGTACAATTAAAGTAGTTACTGTATGCCTCATTTTTCAAATATATTAGTGGTTTTAATCCATATCCTATTCTTTGACACATTAAAACAAGGTTTATAGTTGTGTCGGGGGGGGGTGTTTTTCAAGCTATATTCAAAAATATTTGACTATCTTGTTATCTAGAATTAAATAACCAATTCTATAAACTCCTCTGCCTTCCCACTTTTGTACAAAACAAATTTATCCTCCTATATAAAATCTTACTGATCAAGGAATAGATGAGGAAATGGGTCAGGAGCCAAAGGGTATGACTGCTGGTTACATACAGTTTCTCACAGAATCCTATTTGTAGCCCCCTGACATTCTGCAATCATACCAAATTATTTCTGATGGCGTTTTTCCACTTTTTCCTATTTGATTGATATAATAATAATTTATCAAACTTATCTGTAGCGAGTAAAGAGGATGACATTGATGGAGAAAGGAAAGATCTATTAGCAAAGTAATAAGGAGATAAACATTGCAGGAGCTGAGATAGAGGGGAAGGGATACGAACACGTCTCAGATACACACACACCCCAAATTCACATGAAGATAAAAGCGGGAGGTGGAGAAGCACATGCAGACTTGCAAGATTCTGTTACTATAACCAATCTTAATAAAAGTAGTTTTAGGCATACATGGCATGTGTTTCTTCTTCTGGTCTACCTTGTAGTTGTCAGGCCTAGCCCAAAGAACTCCTGGAGGCCATGCAGGTTCAATCAGCAAGGTTTATTTGCCAGCACTTGTTTACAGAAATCTTCTCAGACTGACCAGCAGTTCCCAGGCACAACTCTCTACTATCTTCTGGAATGTTCAGGGATGCACCAGCTTTCTCCGCTTATCTCCAGAGCATTGCTCTGGAGACGAGAGCACCGTTTTCACCCCCCTTCCTCCATTCCAGTCCCTCACAGTAGTACTGATAATATCCCATCTTTCATCCAGGAGTTTAAGGTGGTGCACATAGTGCTCCCTTCTGACGGTGAGAATGGCAGTGGGAAGTCTCTGGAGGCAAACCACTCCCACTTCCTCTTTAGCTACCCAAATGTCAGCATTTTGATTTAAGATTTAAGAGATATTTGGGAAGAGGATGTTAAAGTGGAAAGCAGCCCAAAAAACCCCTTGTAGAATTATTTTGCCCCATCCATTCTGGTGACATTCCTCTAGCTCATTATGTGAATAAGTTGCAGTTTTTAAGAAGTTGTCTACCCATGTTTTAGCAAATTACTTGCTTACTAATGTTTCATTTTGGTGTGAGATTAGACAGGTTTTTAGTATGGAGTATTTCTACTGAGAAGTAATGCTATTTATTTTACTAGTTGTGTTGCCCATTACTCCTAATTACATTTTATGATTTTTACTGGTAGATTTTATTGTATTTTGCTATATTGTTTTGTTATAATTTTTATTTTGTTGTAAGCTGCTTTGGGACTTCAGTAAAAAAATGTGGTCTTAATTTTTTTAAAGCCAACAAATGGGGTAGCAGCCTTTAAATGGCAAGAATTTATCCTGTTTTCTACCTTTGAACAGGAAGAATCCAGGAGCTTGGACAAAGCCAATTTACTTTTATATGCTCATGGATCACTTTGGTTGGGAGGTCAATGGAAACTGCAACATTTTAATCAAATTTTGATTCTGAATGGATAGCTGAAATATTATGTCAAGTTTTCTTACAGTATCTGCTTTTTTAAAAGCAGATGAGTTGAATTTAAATTTCTTTATCACACTCTGTCTGCAGTATCTTAGGCAAGGCAGCATGAGTGCCCAATAAACTTAGATTGAATCACACAGTTTTAAAAAGAAGAAAAATCAGGATAATTAGACATTCAATTTTCATTGACTGCATATAATATAGAAGCCCAATAAAGAACTCTGTAATGTATGTTAATTATATCTATGTTTTTAAATATATACCCAGTGAATTGTTCAAGTGTGTTACAAAATCAACGGATTCAATCCAGAATTGACCTTCCATTAATAGAGGAAATCAGGAGCCAGTTAAACTCTCTTGCTAGAATAGGTGACAAAACAGCAATTTCAGTTGATTCCTCCTTCTCCCACAGCCCCTTAATACCGTATCACAAACTCTTCTCACAAATTTCCCAGCCCTGCAAAGCAATGTTTTAATGGAAATAAGGGAAATAGGGAAAAAATCACCTTTTCCTTTCAGTCTAGAATCATTTAGTTTGGGAGAGGACATTCTTCTGGAAGCAGGTATCCTTTGCATAAGTAGATCATATGTCTCATATAAGCCTCCAGCAATTTCCAACCATTGTCCACCTTACACAATTCAAGAGAATCCACTGGCTGGATCATAAAGGAGAATGATGAGAACAACAAGCAGTAAGGTTTAATTTTATGAGCAGAATTTCACTTGCGCTCTTCTGTATCAGATCTATGAAAAAGTAGCTCTAATCCAAGCAGCTTCTAAGGAGAAATATCACATATTTCACCTAGTGTAGCCAATTTTTTATATTGGTCTTGCAGAGGACCTTGTTCAAGCCCTCTCAGCCATGAAACTCAATGAATTGGGTTAGTCGTCATTCCTCAAACGAATCCATTCTTCTCTAAGAGATGATGACATAGATAGACTTTGATTCCAAAACTCCTCATCAAAGACCATGTTGGCTGGGAATTCTGGATGCTAGTACTTACATCTGGAGAACACCGGCATTGGGGAGAGCTGATCTTACCTGTGTTTTATTGTGAGAGTAAAATAAGCAGGAGATTTCCTATCTGGAACTCAAAGACTTTTGGCTCCCACAGACTTTTTCCATTTGAAATTACTTACACTGTTGTGTTTAATTGCTGGCTTGAATAGTAATTTGGCTTATTAATGTTTTATTTATTGTAATTTTACTGTTTTTGTATTTTCTATAAATAATACTTGAATTATTTGATTAACAGGTCATATAGTGATGTATTCTATATTCAATTCTATTTTACTATGTTACATCCATATAAATATAAATAAAATTCTGCAGAAATAGATTTATTTCTTCAGATTTAAATTAACAATTTTTTTAAAGAGGTCATGATAATATATATGTTTCTTTCCTCCCCATATCTATTCTAGTCTTTTAGCAAACCTTGAGATAGGTTAGACAGAAAGGGTATGATTAGTCTAAGTCTTCACTGATCAGCTGAGATTTGAACCAAGTTCTACATTCTTGGCCAGCACTCTAACTTCTATCAAGAGCATGCAATTCATCTGTCCCTTCCCTTCCCTTCCCTCCCCTCCCCTCCCCTCCCCATCCCTCTTTCTTTCCTAAGGTCACATGACATTTAAATGACATGCTATTCCCAGGACAATATTGATGTGATATACTATAATTTAAATTTCATATTTCTTTCCTCACCCCCAACCACTACAATTCTTTATTTGAGTCAGGGCAGAACTAGTTTGGAAGCAACTTTAAAAGCTGCAAGTGTGAAAATATGGAATGTTGAAATATGTTTTCTTTTTATTAGGGGAATTACTACAAGGCCTGTGAATATTTCAATCAGGCATTTGAAGCAGCAAATGCTCTCTCTGATTTGGCCCTAGTGAATGAAACAAAGGTATATTGTGGCATTGGAAAAGCTCATAGCTTGATGGTGAAAGTTAACACTCATACAGAAGCTGCAGATCCCATCAACATCAAGTACCTGCTGGACTGGAAGGAAAATAGAAGTGACATGTTCGCTGACCCTTTTACAGTGGGTAAGATACACATTATGAAACACATTAGTGTTCCATTGCCCTTATGGTTAAGTCATTTTTCTTGTATAGTTTTATTAAATTATTTGCTGAGTTAACCCTGTTGGTCTATCCATGTCTCTATGGAGGTAGGATATACTATTATGAGATTTTAAGACATATATTGAATAAGTTTATGTAAATATACTGCTCACAATTTTTTTTTTTAACTAAATATTCCTTGACAAAATAGTGTGCTACCATTTTCAGTTTATACCTCCTAATATTGGCTCATTTTTACTCAGAAACTTTTATAGGATAGATGAGAGCATTTTAAATAAATATGGAAAAGAAAGTGTAACTATTTTTGCTTTGTGATCATTGTTGTTGTTGTTTAGTCGTTAAGTCGTGTCCGACTCTTCGTGACCCCATGAACCATATTGCGCCAGGCCTTCCTGTCCTTCACTGCCTCCCTGAGTTTGCTCAGTTTCATGCTCATTGCTTCAGTGATGCTATCTAACCATCTCATCCTCTGCCGTCCTCTTCTCCTTTTGCCTTCAATCTTTCCCAGCATCAGGGTCTTCTCCAAAGAGATCTCTCTTCGCATTAGGTGACCAAAATATCTGAGCTTGAGCTTCATTATCGATCCTTCCAATGAGCAATCAGGGTTGATTTCCTTTAAGATTGACTGGTTTGACCTCCTAGCAGTCCAGGGGACTCTCAAGAGTCTTCTCCAGCACCACAGTTCAAAGGCATCAATTCTTCGGCGCTCGGCCTTTTTTATGGTCCAGCTCTCTTAGTTTTTTTAATGTTGAGTTTCAAGCCAGCTTTTGCACTCTCCTCTTTCACCCTCATCAAGAGGCTCTTTAGTTCTTCTTCACTTTCTGCCATTAGGGTGGTATCGTCTGCATATCTGAGGTTGTTGATGATTCTCCCTGCAATCTTAATTCCGGCTTGTGATTCTTCCAGCCTGGCATTTCTCATGATGTACTCTGCATATAGGTTAAATAAGCAGGGTGACAGTATACAGCCTTGTCAATTACTTTTAAATTATTGTAATTTCAAATCTAGAAAAATTAAATAGAAACATTCACTAAAATTAAAAATTATTAGATGTTATGTTGGAAGGAAATGACAAATTCACTAAAACTTATTGTGATCCTGCAGTACTTTATTTTACATTTTTTGATTTGTTAATGTAATGTCCTATTGAAACAACTTGGGTATTCATGCATTTGCAGCATCATGCTGGAAGAAAAAAATAATAAAAGTTTTATCTCATCATTTCTTGAAAAAAAGAAAGCGGCATTGTTCACCTGTATGCTAGAACTTATTGCGGCATATTTGGCATGATGTGCTAGGAACAGTTTCTTGAAATTAGTAGCAGGACACATTCTTGCTAGCATTCAATTCTTTTAGCACTAATTTTCCACTGTAGGAATTTAAAGGTAATTCTTCTGCAGACAATCTGAAACCTTCCTATTCATCAAAATAATATTTGTTATGGGCTTTAGCCCAGAAGCACAAATTGGTAATGCTTCTAAATTATATTTTAAAAAATGAGTTCAGTGTTGGTGTGATAACAGGTCAGATGTCTTAATAAAAAACTATAGGCCTCTGGAAGAAGCCACAAGAATGTCAGTGTGCATCATGACATCATCACACAAATGATATGAATGATGTTAGTTTGCCTGATGACATGATGACAGAAGTGATGCCATCCCCTGTCCCTCCCTGTAGTTACACATACATAAAACTCTAAAGTTTGATATATCCTTTACTTGGAGAATTCATTCATTAGCTTTTTTTAAATGTACTCTTCTGACATAATATTACTTCTGTCTTAAGTTTTAGGATGTAGTAATCATTGTTATTACTGATACTGTAGTAGCCAAAAGGTGTTTTAAGAGGCTGTAAAAATCTGTTGAATTCCTATAACACACGTACAAAATATTTTAAAAAGATCACTGTTGCACTATAAGAAATGTCATCAGTGTATACTATATAAATAATGTAAAAGTTCTGCCTATCGATTTTGTTTATTTAGATATCAGGCCCTAAGAATCAGAAAAAAATACATTTATTTCATCTTCTGCTTTCTTTACAAGATACTATGAAATAATATCATTTTCCTAATAATGAGAGCTAACTTATTTCATATACAATAAACTCTTCTGTTACAAATTATTTGATATTTAGCATTGATGTATTACTGAATGAACTTAGATCTTTTATGAGTCTTAAGAACTTAGCTCAATGGGTTTATCCTGGACAGTTTTAAAACTGGTTTTAAAAAAGGAAAGAAGAATTTACCAATGACTTTTCTATTTGTTGACAAAATGAGGTGAAATTTGTTTGCAGAATTGACCCTCAGGGCGTTTTTCTGGGGGGGGGGGTGGGG